AGAACTATCACCATCCTGGTTCAGGGCTAAGGCCACGACCCACAGACTCCTCATCACCAGTGGGTGGCAATATTGTCACACAGAGCCATTGGGGTGCAGTAAAGGCTTGGCATCCTCCCTAAAAATGGAAAGGCCTCACCACCTTAGGTCATTCCAGGCAGCCCCCCAAATGCAATTTCTCCACTGTCCCCAAAGCACCCAGGATAGTTCTGTGGGAGGAGAGAGTGATCTGAAATAGAAGAAACCCAGGAAGCTGTTTGCATGATTCTTCCTCTGTCCTGCCATAACAATCCTAGTATATTTCATTTGTAAATTACACACTTGTCTTCCCACTAAGGCATGTCTTTCTAGGAACAGACTCTACTACCTTTGTGTCTGCAATTTCTCTCACCTATGGTAGATGCTGAGTAAGTGGATGGGATGATTGCACTTCATTTCTTCAGAGGCAATCGATTCCGTTCTAAGAAACAGTCTAAGACATCTGTACCCCTATGTTTATTGCAGCACTATTTACAATAGCCAAGATATGGAAGCAACCTGTGTCCATCCGTAGATGCATGGATAAAGAAGATGTGGTACATACACACAATGGAATACTATTCAGCCATAAGAAACAAATCCTATCATTTGCAGCAACATAGATGGAGCTAGAGGATATTATGCTCAGTGAAATAAGTCAGGCAGAGAAAGATAAGTACAAATGATTTCCCTCATTTTTGGAGTATAACAACAAAGCAAAATTGAAGGGAGAAAATAGCAGCAGACTCACAGACTCCAAGAAGGGTCTAGTGGTTACCAAAGGGCTGGGGTGGGGGAGGGCAGGTGGGGAGGAAGGGAGAAGGGGATTGAGGGGTATCATGATTAGTGCACATGGTGTGTGGGGGGTCATGGAGAAGACAGTTTAGCACAGAGAAGACAAATAAGTACTCTGTGACATCTTACTATGCTTAGGGATAGCGACTTCAATGGGGTGGCAGGGGGACTCAATAATAAGAGTAAATGTACTAACCACATTGTTTTTCTTGTGAAGCCTTCATAAGACTGTCTATCAACAATACCTTAATAAAAAAAAAAGAAAAAAGAAAAGTTTAAGAAAGATCTTCTGAGTCCTCTGTAGTTATCCAAAATGAATCTAGATTTCACTGGTAACTCTAGAGTGGGTTCAGCCTCCCAAGGATCCTCAGCATAGAACGAACCCAAGAAAACCTCTCAAGGCTATCCTAGCCTGGACTCTTGAAACTGCAATACCTGATCTATCCTTAGACTGACCTGGCTTTGCCACAAAATAGTCACAGTTTAAGCAGAACAAATGTCAAGCTGACCTCTGGGTAATTTCAATAAAGTGGGCCCAGTAACTGATGCAGTCAAGGGCTTTCCCAAGTAACTCCACAACAACCCAAGGGTGGAGCCACTGTGTGCTGCCCTAGAAAAGGGGCCCACATTTATATAAAATCTGGGCAGCTCTGAGGAGGATCCTCTCTAATTCAAAACATTTTAGCAGCCTGTCTTTTGTCTGAAATCTCATTACAGAGCTAGGCTCTTGAGACAAGAAGATAATTTGTGACGCATCTAGAAATCTGTTAGGGTTTTTTACCATGAAAAATGAGGGAAATATATGATTTCACAAATGTCCATCCTTCCAAATTTTAGGTAAAAATTTATAAAACCTTAAAATATGTACTTTTAAAAGATCTACTAGAATATTTATAAAGATCAAAATTACAAAAATACATAAATATTTTTTTCTTTTCAGAACTTTGTCAAACATCAAGGACTTGTTGTCTTGGCTACAGACACACTAGGCTCTGTCCACCCTTTAGTATAGCATGTTAATAGAAAGCAAGCAAGACGCACTGATCACCACTTAAGGAAATAAAAACTCAGTTTACTTTGTGATTATAAAAAATATAAACTCATTACAGAGAATTTGGAAAATATAGCAAGTTCTAAAGACTATCCAAGAGATTATCTCTGTTGACTTTTTGATGCATATCTTACAGTCTTTTTTTATTTCATATATATACATACACATAGACAGTTTCTTATAAAATATAATGCTTTTTTCTTCCTATTTTTTTATGTCTCTTTTCCATTTTCTCTGCTTTCAGCCTCTCTCCCTTTATGTGAGTACTGGAACTTCTCTTCATGCACCTATGCATAAGTCTGTTTAACTTTCACAGAGTTGAGGCAAGAGCTTTTCAAACCATGCTGTACCCCTAAACAAAATGGAAAGAAAGAGAGAGATGATAAATAAATAGATGGTCATAGATGCATGACACTAGATACATAGATAGATAATAGATAAATAAACAGGGAAGAAAGGAGAAAAGGAAGAATTTATGTATCATTGTGTATGTAGATCTTCTATTTATAAATGGTTTTATGACCTTCAGTAGAAAAAAATTCTTGCCTCTATTTTAGATTCCATAAGGACAGTCATCCTTCTCCTTGAGCATGGTATTTCTATATCACCCTTCCTCATTTCCACAGAAATACTGTGTAGTCTCAGGTTTACATCGTATTACCTGCATTGACCACAACTTAAATTGACTGTATACAACCTCATGGAAACTTCTTCATTTCTTATCCTGTTGGCTCTGTGGTTTAGTATGGTATATCAGGGCTAGAAGGAACTCCAAAGTAAGTTCTTTTCTGCTTCGCACATCTTCCTTTGCCCCTCCCTTTTGCTTATTAGTTCAGTATACAAAATAGTGTATTGTCTAAAGTCTTTCTGCAGTACACTTCCTTTGTGGCCTCTGGCCAAGACTGGCCATTCAATGGCAGGAAGCTCACTACCTGTTGAGGTGACCCAGAACACTTTTACAGTGCTCTAACAACTAAAATACCCTTCTCTCTGTCACTCTTATCCACTGCTATTTTTAACCACTGGAATTTCACAGAAGAGTTTAATTCACAGGATAATAAAAAAAAAGTTTCCCACTTAAAATCTCTTCAAAAAATAAGTATATTTACAATAGTATTAAAAGAATAAAATACTTAGGAATAAACATAATCAAGGAGGTGAAAAACTTCTACACTGAAAACTACAAAATGTTACTGAAAGAAATTGAAGAAGTCACCAATAAATGGAAATAAATCCTGTGCTTCATAGATTAGAAAACAATATTATTAATCTTAATAATTGTCAATAATGTGTGTCAATACTACACAAAAATATCTACAGATTCAATGCAATACTTATCAAAATACCAGTGATAATTTTGCAGAAACATAAAAAATCATCCTAAAGTTCATATGGAATCTTGAGGGGCCCCAAATAGCCAAAACAATGTATAAAAGAAGAACAAAGTTCGAAGATCATACTTCCTGATTTCAAAATATACTACAAAGCCACAGTAATCAAAGCAGTCTGGCATAAAATCAGTCATATGGATCCATGGAATAGTACTGAGAGTCTAGATATAACCCCATACATCTATGGTCAACTGATTTTCAACAAGAGTTCTAAGACTATTCAATGGGGAAGAATTGTCTTTTCAACAAAAAGTGCTAGAACAACTGGATAGCCATATGCAAGACAATGAAATCAGACCCTTAACACCATATACAAAAATTAACTCAAAATGGATCAAAGATCTAAACATAAGACTTAAAACTATAAAACTCTTAGAAGAAAACAAGGGAAGTTTCATGACATTATATTTGCCAATGATTTCTTAGGTATGATGACAAAAGTACAGACAACAAAAGAAAAAAAATAGACAAATCGAACTACATCAAAGTTAAAAGCTTTTGTGCAACCACTCCCTTTAAGCAGTTTATTGTTATAAGTAAATCATTTTCAGTAACAAGCTCCTCCTGGGGCAGGTCAACTGGTTAAAAAAATCATTAATGACTTTCCAGAAATACTGGGGCAGGGAAACCAAGCCAGGGGGTTAGGATCACTGCCAACCAAAGATCAATTAGAACTGTTAAGTATCTCTGGTGTAATGTCCACATTCATAGAAAGGCACAATTTAAAAAAGGTTTCTTACACATATATCTGCCCTGAACAATGGCTATGTGTGGGAGAAACTGTGCAAGAAGGGCTCAGCACAGCATCTCACTAGGGGTCTCCTGTGAGCAGAACTTGGCTCCTAGACATCCCAGTGCACCCCTGGGGTCACTTGACCCACAGTTCTGTTGTCACCTACGGCAGTACTCTTGTTGGTTCAGTCAGACACAAAGGTATATAATGCAGGTAGGATACTAAATGCAAAAGAATTGCATACAGCTTTGTTCCTTCTGGAAATATCATGTCATGAAACCCCAAAGGGTTCAAATCAAAGGACTACATACAGAGATGAGGCAGCATTAAAAGGACAGTGTTTGTTAGAAAGGGAGCCCCAGTGGAGTTGGTTCTGGGAGGAGGAAACTTCTGCTCAACACTGCACTAGGAAAAGGCAGAAAGAAATGCCTTGCCTCTCTCTTCTCCGCATGAGTCTTCTGCCTGTGCCTCCCCTGGGCAAGTCAGGGTGAAGGGGCCTGTGCTATGCAGTCATCAAGAGTCAGCCCTAGGAGAACAAAGGAAGGGGGGGAAAGGGAGAATACATCTGGAGGAGAGAAAAGAAGAAGCACACCTCTTCAAAGGTGTGTTAACTGAGTCATTGAAAGGAAAAGTAACATACTTCAGATGAGAAAGCAAAACCCAGAACCAGCATGAGGGATCCACTCCTCCCTCTGGTCTCACTGAGTTTGAGTGGCCTGAATGCCTCCAAAGAATCATAAAATCTCAGAGGACATCTAGTCCCTCAGGCTCCTTCCCAAGATATGGTGATTTTACAACGTGACTCAGAGTGGTCGACCTTTCTTCAGGAGTGGTGAGGTTGTGAATCAGGCGTGTGGTGAGGTCTGCGATCAGGATGACTCAGCCTTCTGCCTGGATTCACCTGAGAGGTTTTCATGAATCGCTGGTGTGGGTGATGCTTTGGGTGGTGTTATTCTTTCAGTATATTAGCTTCATATACTAAGTGTGTCTCTGTTTGATTCATGAAGGTGATTCATCTGAGGAGGTTGACCTGACCATGGTTTATCAGGCAGCATCTAACGGAGATGTCAATGCTCTGACTTCAGTGATTAGAGAAGACCCTTCCATCCTAGAATGCTGTGACAGTGAAGGTAAGCTATTTATACATTTTGATGCCTGCACAATATTCTGCTCCATCCTTTTGTAGGTGACCTTCAGAGGTGAGAGTTGTTAATAAAATCGTATCTGGAAAGCCACTTTGAAACTCAGGGGACAAAGAGTATCTGACCTGTGGCTATATGCAGGACCCTTGGTACTTCTTTAAATGAGAATCTTGGGCACAAATCTTCTAATTCTTCTACACTGCCTCTTAAAATGAAGCCAGTTGGCTTGGGTTTGTTTCTGACTTCTTTGTATGAATGACTAAAGTAGATAGGACAAGTAGTTAGAAAAAGGGTATGGAAAGAGGAGGTTATTTTTGGTAGCAATCGATGCTAGGAAAGTGTGACTATTAAAGCTAGAGAGCAAGGCCTTCTGCTTCTGGGAAAGTGGAATAAATGTGCTTTTTTATGTGTTTCTTCTGCTAAATCCAACTAAAAGCCCTGGACATTGTATATAAAATAAACAGAAGAACACTCAGAAATGGACAGACAAGGGCAGACTGGCTAGGACCTTGGGACCCAAGCAATGACACCCTTTGCTGGGTGGTGGGCCCAATTCGCATTCTCAGGAAGGGCTCCTCTGACACCATCCTGACAGGGAGAGAGAGAGGGGGCCCTCATTACCGAGTGGGGGTGGAGAGCCGGGGTCCCCACTCGGTCTTTGGAGTGGAGGGATAGGTGGTAAGTTCCCTGGATCTTCTTTTTGCCTCATGTATTCCAGACTTGAAGCTGTAGCAGCCAAGAATCCAGAAATGCCAACAGGCACAGACAAAAAAGCCCCAACAAAAGCCTTCTCTCTGCCAAAGAACCAGGAAAGGGACCATGAGGACAGAAAATGTTTACACAATAATGAGTGTACTCCAGCTGAGCACCACCAAAAACAACCCCCAAAACATCAAAACAAAGCTATAGCCCTATCCCTCCACTCCGAAGACCGAGCGGGGACCCCGGCTCTCCACCCCCACCTGGTAATGAGAGCCCCCTCTATATCTCCCTGTCGGGATGGTGTCAGAGGAGCCCTTCCTGAGAATGTGAATTGGGCCCACCACCCAGCAAAGGTGAGTCTTCTCCTTCAGATGTCAATGGGAGCCGAGTAGGGAACCAGGACTTCTATTCCCACCTGCCAGTAATGAGGTGGCAGCCCACCCACCACACTTTCCCTTTGGAACAGTGTCAGAGAAAGCCAATTAAAAAAGAGGGTTTAAGTAAGAGTAGGCAACCCATAATACAGTAGCCCAAATGCCCAAGTTTCAATAGACTCCCTATTTCATCCCAAGAAATAGGAAGACTTCAAACTGGGTGAAAAAAGACAGTCATTAGGTGCCAATGCTGAGATGACAGATATAACGATTATCTAACAGATTTTTCAAGTAGCCATGAAAAAATGCTTCAGTGAGCAATTATGAACATGCTTGAAACAAATGAAAAAATAGAAAGCCTCAGCAAAGAAATAACAGATATAAAGATGAACTAAATGGGAAGTTTTAAAACTGAAAAACAAAAATTGCAACTAAAACTTCAGTAGGTATGCTCAGCAGTTGAATGCAAAAGCAGAGGAAAGGATCAATGAACTTGAAAATACAACAGAAATGAGCCAATCTGAACAGCTGAAAGAAAACAAGCTTAAAAGAAAAAAAAAATTGAAACAGCCTAAGAAATCTATGGGACTATAACAAAATATGTGTCTTTGATTTCTCTGTCGCAGTATTTCTGGGAAGTCATTAATGATTTTTAACCAGTTGATGTGTCCTAAGAGGAGCTTGGGGTTCCCTTATTAGGACAACAAAATATTTTGTAAATATTTTGTAAAGTGGGTAGTTGCTCCCTAATTTATGCCAACCTACTTGTATGCCTGCCATGGGGCTAGAAAAGTGGGAAATGAGGAGATCCAAGGTTAACATCACATACATGATAAGGGTAAGTGCCAGCCTGGGTTCAATCCTGGCTTGTGCTGACAATGAACAGAAATGAAGATACAACATATCAAAATTTGTGGGGCATAGCTAAAGCAATGCTGAGGGAAATGTATGGCATTACATACACCCATTAGAAAAGGGGGAAGGTGTCAGTCAATAATCTAAGTTCCTACCTCAAGAACCTAGAGAAAAGAGGAGCAAAATAAACCCAAAGCAAACAGAAGGAAATGATGAAGAGTCGAAATCAATAAAACTAAAACCAAAAAACAATAGAGAAAAATCAATGAAGCAAGGAACTGATTCTTTGGAAAGATGAACAAAATTGATAAATTTCTAGCAATACTAACAGAGAAAATGAAAGAGTCACAAATTACCACTTTCAGGAATGAAACCAAAGATATCACTCCACACCCTTCAGACATCTAAAGGATAGCAAGGAAATACAACAACTCTACACACTTAATTTTGACTATTCAGATGAAATGGAATAATTCCTCCAAAAAAGATAAACTACCACAATTCATCCAATAAGAAACAGATTATTTAAAGAGCTTTATCACTATTAAGAAAATTAAATTCATAATTTTAAAATTGCCAGAGGAAAAAGTCTTCAGGCTTAAATGGTTTTGATTGAGACTTCTACAATCTTCTAAATAATAATATCAATTTTACATAATCTGTTCCAGAAAAGATAAGAGAAGGAAAGTCTTCTCAGTTACATTTATGAAACTAGTATTACTCTGATATCCAAACCAGACAAAGAAGATATAAAAAATATTAACCTACAGACCCATAGTCCTCATGACTATAAATACAGAAAACTTTGACAACATATTAGCAAATAGAATTTGGCAATATATAAAAAGAATCATACACCATGACCAAGTATGTTTGTTCTAGAGATGTAAGTCTGATTTAATATTTGAAAACCAACCAGTGTAATCCATCATATTAACCAGCTAAAAAAGAAAAATCATATTATCATATCAATTGATGCAGAAAAAGCATTTGACAAATTTTTATACATTCATGGTTAAAATCTCTCAAAAAACAGAAATAGAGGGGAATGTCCTCAATTCAATAAAGAATATCTACAAAAAAAAAGAAATGTAGAGCTAACGTTTTATGGGGAGAGACTGTATGTTTTGCCCCTATGATAATGAACAAAGCAAAGATGTCCACTCTCATTCATATTCAGCATAGTGCTGGAAGTGCTAACCAGTGCAAAAAGACAAGAAAAGAAATAAAAAGCATACATATTGAAAAGAAAAATAATAAAACTGTCCCTTTTTTGCATGACTTGATTGTCTGCATAGAACTGACAAAAAAACTCCTACAATCAAGTGAGTTCAGCAAAGTCACAGGGTGTAAGATTAATCCAGAAAAACATATTAATATCTATATACCAGAAATGAACACATACCCACCAAAATTAAAACCACAATACCATTTGAAATCACTCAAAACAATACTTAGGTATGAATATAACAAAATATGTGCAAGAATTGTATACTGAAAACTGTAAAATGCTGATGAAAGAAATCAAAGATCTAAATAGACATACCATGTTTATGGATTAGAATATTCAATATAGTAAACATGCAATACTCCCCAAATTCATATACAAGTTTAATACAATTTCTATTAAGCCCCAGAAAGATTTTTTGTAAAAACAAAATTATCTAAAATTTATATAGAAAGGCAGACACTAGTTAAAACAATTTTGAAAAAGAAGAATAAAGCAGTGGAATCAGTGTACCCAATTTCAAAACTTAAATAACTACAGACATTAAGACTATGTGGTATTTGTTGAGGGATAGATATATAGCTTGATGGAAAAGTACAGAGAACACAGAAATAGACTCACACAAAATATATTTGATTTTTGACAAAGGTGCAATTATAATACAGCAGAAAATCCTCTTCAGTAAATGGTGTTGGAGCAATTCAACAACCATAAGCAAAACAGAAAGAAAAAAAGAGAGGAGAGAGGAAGAGAAGGAGGGAGGGAGGGGAGGAAAAAGAAAGGAAGGAAAGAACAGAGAAAGGAAGAAAGAAAGAAGAAATGTTAACCACTATAAAGACACAGCACTCATTGCTGCTTCTACCCGGTACACAGGCCTGAAAGAATATTAGAAGGGAGTTTGGAGAGAAACTGGGTTGCCAGCTGCAGCCTGTCAGTGAGCACAGCAGCCCTGCAATGTATGCATTCTCAGGGATCTCTGAGGGTCATAGCTTGCAGTGCACTCAGAAAAATTGCAACTTCAGCATGAATTTCCAATGAGAAGACACATAAACAAGTCTCAGCTGAGCAAAGGGTTGTGCCTGAGGTTTGGTCTCTTCACCTGAAGGAATGTGAGCTCCTGGATTCGGCCTCACTAGGCTGGCTTATTCAACAGTGCTGCAAAATTAATCAGAATGTGCTCTTTCATCTTTAGTTTTATTCAGGAAGAAAAGAGGTGAAAAACCAAATGCCTTGGCCTATATTGATTTTAAAAACAGAGAGAGTTTATTTTGGTAAAGTGACCCTTTTTAGCAAGAATTTGTGCAACCCAAGGTTTGGCTATCATCACTGCCCTTTATCACCCACCACCTCCTGTAACAGTTCAAGCCAAATCAGGATAAATCTTCCAGTTAAATCCCAAATTATTGCTGATTCCCAAGGTAGTAATAAGCAAATGTTATCAACTACACAAAAAATTTTACTCCACCTATTTCTGTGAAATTACAGAAGATCGAATAGGATCAGAGAAATACATAGTTTATTTAAATGTGGAAACAATCATTTTCTTTTCTCTCTAGTCGCATACAGCTCAACAGCTGGGTTGTGTTGAAGGTGATTCACTTATCTACAAAGAGCATAATAAATGAACAAGCAAATAGTCTGCTCATAAATTTCACAAGTCAAACATTTTTAAAGGCTGTTGAAATGTCTCATTTCAGGATGTACACCCTTGATGCATGCAGTTTCTGGACGTCAAGTGGACACAGTGAAGCTGCTGTTGAAGATGGGAGCCAATATTAACATGCAGGATGATTATGGCCGCACAAGCCTATGCCTGGCAACCTACCTGGTATGGACTGAGTTTGTGGCACACACCAAGCAGTGGGATGGGCTATATGTGTTGTTAAGGTGTCCCACCTGCAGAAGAATGTTTTTAGATTTATGCATCTAGTCAATGGAAATAGAAGTTGTCCAATCATATCTGACATTTATATCAATACTTAAGAGTTGGTTTCATGGATTTAAGTCATTTTGGATCTTCCTAAAAATCCTCTAAGACCGAGTTGATATTACCATGAGAGAAATATTCTTTTCCATTTTAAGTGCATCATGAGTTTCCTTGGGGCATTTCTGGACATCCTTAGTACTCCTTCTGAAAACACCCTCTTTTTATACCCTGAGTGGTGGTAGCACTTGAAGCTGAAATGTGGGGTAGATCAATTGAGTAGAAGCTGGAAGATGAGGAGTGTGAGGAATGATGAGAACTGGAAGAGTTGGGGGTAAGAATACCAGGCTTCTATGGGGCAACGCCAAGCACAAGACTCAATCCACAATCAATGCTCAGTTTAAAAATTGCATAGAGCGGTCCTCATCACAAGGGATCTCAGTTCAGCATTTCCCGGCATTAGAGCAAGTTTGGTAAGCCTTACTGGAAATCTTCAAGCCCTGCTCCACTCAAATCGTCCCTGCAGCCCTTCTGGGAGACCCCAGGGCTACTTTGAATCCATGTCAAAGTCAAGTCCTTAGCATCTCATGTGGATCGTCATTCACCTTTGCCTCCCTGGGGCTCCTGGAAATCTTTACCGTCACCACCACTGCTGCTGAAGCAGCTTCTTGCATTTGCCATTGCTGCCCATTGATGGTGGTGGATTTGCCCTGAGCAGCCCCATGGTGTCCTACAACTAACTGCCCTGCTGAAGCAGAACACTTCCTGTCCCCCAGCACCACACATGATCCAGCATAGATTGCAGTTAGGCATTGCCCAATTGCCACAGAGAATTTCTTCAGGAACTACTTTTTTATTTTCTGTTGTATGCTCTCTCTGTCTAGAACTCCCACATGAATCTGGGAAGAATTTTTCCAAGCATTAGAGTATTTATTTCAAATGCAGGTTCCTAGGAGTCAGACACTGTGAGCAATGTGGGGGTGTCTGCATGTTCAATAAACCTTCCAGCAAGGTGTATACCCACTCAAGTTTGAAACCAGCGGTCTGTGAGTACTTGATGAAGTCCATTTATCTCAGGAGGTAGGACTGCTCTCCCAGCTCCCTCTCTTCTGGCACATGCCCCAATAACTGTTCTTGCTATGGGATATTTTTTGGTGTCTGAGCTGAGGAAAAGAGAAAATTTGGATCAGGGTATGGAGGAAGAGAGCTGAGATGGTTTCTGAAGTTGAATGCTACTAGCATACAGAATAGAGTGAAACCAAGCTGCATTTCTTCAAAATTCTAAAATTCAAAATTGCAAAATCCTTGGGCTGGATCCTTATGGGACTGGGAAGAAGTATCTCTAGGGTACAGTGAATAGTGAGTCTAGAGAGGTGCCACCTTTGCAGACAGCTCTTTCTAGGAACACGTTCTAAGGAGATGCATGAGGGAGGTGTGCCTCTGTGACTGCACATGGCATCGCCCTCTTAATGATGCCCTTGCCTTTGTAGGCTGACGCAAGCCGGAACCCTTCCCTGGCTCTCCCAAGGCTCCCTGACAGGCTGGAGGAAGGGGGGGTTGTCCTGGGGATTGCACTCTGAAGCCCACCACTCCCTTCTGGCAATGTTTGAATTCAAGTATTAAAGAGAAACTTGGCAAAGGGGGCACTTAGAAATTCAGTCTCAATCACAGCTCCAAACTCAGTATACAAATAAACTTGACATAGATATGTGACCTTAGGCAAATCACTTCACCTCTTTGTGCCTCTTTCTCACTTGTAAAAGGTAGTAAAATAATACCCAAGGTTTAATCACAAGTGAAGGAGAAACACATGTGGAATCACCCAGCACATAGTAGGTAAAAAATATATTTCTTGGTTCTGAATGGTGACCAGGGGTTTCAGTTTGATTCAGTGGTTTTCTGATATCTTTTCTGAAGAAAAAAGAAAACCACATACACACATAGTTCCAGGAAATGTTGCAAAATGATAAAAATATTTTAAACCTTCCCCCATCAGTCAAATCAGATTTGTTTTTCAAAAATTGTAAAAATTTGGCAACTCTAAAATTTGGCAACCCTGAAATTTGTCCAGCATGCCTTTCTGTCAGGTCTCCTGGCCATATTTTTCCTTTTAATAAGAGAACTTGATGAGTTAGACATTAGCAACTAAAACCAGATTTAATGCATTAGCAAACCATGACTCAAAATTGAAAAATATTTGCTTCTACTTAAGACTCAGATCATATTGGTCAATTCTACAAAACCATATTCAATATTATAACCATGAATTTTGATGTGCTTTCACTGAAAGATTTTTTTTCCCAGACTTTCAGAAACAAAAGGCTATTTTCTTATCATTATCTTTTTTCTTCTCCATGCATTTAGTAACATTTTGAGTTTTATTGGCTCCAATATTGTGAGGGAAAATCTTCAGCCATCTCCTCATCTTACTGGGTATTCTTGAGACATAACTATACAGCAATAGAGGAAGACATCATTATTATATTACTCTTCATAATAATAGTTTCATCTACTTAAAAGTCTATTTATAATAGAGTAAGAAATCCAGGCGGTTCTGGATGTACGTAGGAGGCATTCTCCTCGACATGTGAGCCAAACTTGGTTATCAGTAGGGTTGAGTCAGTTCTTAAAGTAATTAGAACAGAAAGGGAGGGCTTGCCTGCAAGTATATCTGCCCTGGGAAGGGAGAGAAGTGATGAAATGCCAGCTGTAAGTGCTGACCAAGAAGGGCACAAGCATGAGACGTGACAATGTCAGTCTCATTCTAGAGAATTAGAAGACAGCAGGGAGTTCACACAAGGTGTTTTGGAGAATTCACAGGTGGGTAAACACAACTATGGGGATGCTGGTGATACCTGCACAGCATCAGAAAAATCAGTCAACAAGGTGGCAGTGTCCCAGCCATTGGAGTAGGGCTCAGGTTAGGATTCTACGTATCAGGTGGAGAACTGACTAGAATAAGCAAGATACTGTCCTCATGGTCACTAGCAAGACAACTTGGAAAAGAGGACCAGGGCCTGTTTATCAAATATAGATAAACTGAGGTATAGAGTGGGACTCAAGAATGACATAGGAACCCAAGTTTTAGAATTGGACCATGCCATCCAGGTCACACCATCGACAAGCATAATTTGGAGCTAAGCCCAAAGAATGACAGGCCTGAACTGGTTAATCACCCCCTTTCATGTGCCATGTTTGGCCCTAGAAAGTGAGTATAATAGTAAAATACCCGCGAGTGGTCCTAGAAATGGGGAGGAGAAGGCAGAAGAGAGGGTCTAGGAAACAGTCTGCAGCCAATAGAGTAAAGGTCCTCCAGAAAACACATGGAAATCCACACCTCCAGACCTTCAGCACTCTCAGAGGTGTCTAAATTGGAGTTCTAATCCTTAACCACTTCAAGTCAAATAAAGCATGTTTGTAGTCAAACACAGAAGAAAGGGAAAGAAAACTAGAGAACGTTTGCTGGACTATGTAATATGAGATTGTGTTATATGACGACACGGTTGCTTTTGTATTCCAGGGGTGGTTGGAAGGCTGTGTGAGTCTGCTCAGAAATGGTGCCAAGCACAACATCCCGGATAAAAATGGTCGTCTGCCCCTGCATGCTGCCACTGCTGAGCCAGACGTGAGGTAAGTAGCCAGGCTCACACAACGCTCAAGCTGGGAGGGACCTAACTTGGATTAGAAGGTCATCTACTCCAACCCTCTGTGGCAAATAAAAACAAAGCCCATCCTTTTTTTTGAGCTTGCAGCAGACAAGACCACAACTCAGTAAAGCAAAAAATCCTGAATTAACCTTAAACTCTAATCTCATTTTCCTTGTTACGTCAATAAAACCCTTTTCTCCTTGCTCCTGATTTAAGAAGAAATGCTGTTTGTCATCATCTGAGCTCATATATTCTTTCATTCAGTTAATCACTCAATCGATTATGAATTCAATCACTATTTATTGAGTGCTTATGGACCAAGCACTGTTATAGGCCCTAGCAGTTCCACAGGAAGCAAGACAGTGTCTCTGACCTCACAGAGCTTACATTTAGTGAAGGAGTTAAGCAGCACACTGGTAACAAATAGTTGGATAATTTTAAATAGCGGTAAGTGCTATGAAGAAAAACTGGGGAGAAGAACACTGACCCGTCAGAAAGGCTCATGTCTGAACTTAGAGTCATGCCAATGGTTATGGGCTGGAAGGAGGCAAAGGATTCAGCAAAAGATCTGAGACAGCACAGGGACCAGTGGGTTAGAAGGAAAACAGGAGTGTATGCTGCTGGAGGCCATGTGAAGAAATACACTCAAATAAGCTGGATGACTGAGAAGGTCACATTTTTGTAAGACAGTTGAGCAACAAAGGAAAAGGTTTTGCCTAGGCCTAAGTGTAGCTTCCCCAATGCTCTGTGTCTAAATGTCCTCAGTCACCAGTCTTCTAAAAGCCCCTCAGAGCAGCTGATAGCAGCGTTTCCCATTGTGGAATCAGCAATATTCTGCGTGTTTTCTTAACCTCTGCTACCCAGAACATGCCTCTGACAGGAACTTAGCGTTCTCCAGAACTAGGCTGCAGGCCAGCACCACAGGGGGCACATTCTAGTCCTCTGCATCCTGTGTCCAGAAGTAAAAATGAAAGCTCTGTGGGAGTTGAAGAGACGAAGGCTGCTTCCACATTGAGAGGCGACAGGATTTCTTCATTTCAATCTGTTTTACACTAAAATAAAAGTGTTTGGGAAATTCCAAGACTATTCCCAACCAAGCCTCGCCTCTCATTATGATTGGATTATATCCAGGAATAATAGAGAACTAGGATTTACTCAAAGCTCAACAAAACAAGGAAGTTTAGAGAAAAAATACCAAGCCCAGAGCTAACAATCAATAGACATCATAAAGAGATGACTCCCTTTTGATGAATTAGGAAAAGAAAAAAAGAATAGCTTTCTGGACAACCAACAGAAATATTTAGTCATAAAATCATAACCATTTTCTCAAGAGAAATCTTTAGAAAATACATTTAAAATGTATCCTTTAGGACTAGTCTCCCTTGATTTACTCTACTTGATTGCTTTTGCCTGCCTCATTTAGAGTGGTCCTTTCAAAATCTCCCTGATTCTGAAGAATAAACACCTACTTCAGTTCAGGTAATTATAGCTGTTGTAACAAGTACAACTTAAAGCATCCGTGTTTTGAAAAATACAACAAAAGTTTAGTGCAATGCAGGTGTTCCTGGATGGAGGGCGGCTCCCCTCCACCGGGCAATTCAGGAACCCAGGCTTCTTCCAGCCTGTGGCTCCATCATCTCTGAGGATCACCGAATTGGCTTTGTTCAACCTGTAGAGGGGGCAAGAGGAATATAGGGAAGCCCCAATTATCCAAATCAGCCTGCAAATGATCCAATGTACCTCTGCTCACATTCCTTTAACAAGGACTAGCCATCTGGCCACCCCTGAGTATCAGGAGCACTGGAAAATACTGTCCCTGCCCAAGAATTCACCTCCCAGTAATGACTCCAATCCAAGGAAGTGGGCATGAATTTTGGTGAAAGTCTCTCTGCTACCAGCCATTGCACCTGAGGGGTAAACTAAGACCATAGTGTCAGTCTGGCCAGTCAACGAGGCTCATCATCTGAAATCATTGCAATGACTAACTGAAAACCAGTCCAAGAGCACTTCCTCTTCTGTGGACTTTTTAGTCTGTTCCTTACTGTGCCCAGCAGTGCCCTTAGACTCTCTAGGATCTACATTGCATCACTGTAATTGAGATAAGACAGAATTGTGGCTTCCCTTCTCTTGAAATTGTACCTAATGACCCAGCCGCCACCTTCAGAGGAGCTGAAGCCAGAAAAATAAACATCCTTCTGTGTGCTGATGATATGGTTTTAGTGTCCTGACAGGACACTGCTGATTCTGGAAGATAAAATCCTGCTTCAGTTATGGTAATGCTAGCTGCTGTAACTAGTAAAACCCAATGGTTAAGATTAACTATTCCAAAACCAAAATCACTGTTTCTCCCAAAATGTTCTCTAAAAATGAATTGGGATAAACCGTAACGCATAGAGCAAATCAACTGGTTTTGTTACATACAGAATGTTTTGAAATGAGCATGCCTTAAAGGATTCCCTTTGGAATTACATTGCTTAAAATTAGATGTCTTATCAACTGACTTTTTTATGAGAAATTTTATGACCCTAGCAGAGTTTGATAACATCGGCATTAAATATTTCAAGCAGAAACTAACCAAGCCATGCTCTGTAGCAGAGAAGTTGGGCTTCAATTGCCCATTTGTTTGTGTCAGCGTGAACTCAAGAATTGTTTTCTGATAAAAAAAGAAACGTCTTGGTCTGGCTTGTAGGTGCTTTCTGATCCTACAACCCTAATGCAGAGGGGAGCAGCCTTCATTAGACCATGCAGACCTGTGTGACTGCTTACTCTTCCTTAGTGGATGCAGTTTTCAGACAGCCTGGCTGAGCGCTTAAGCATGTATGTCTGCACTTAAACGATGATGGTGCCAAAAGCACTGAGCATTTACCCCATTCCTCACCAAGCTCTGAGTGCTTTCCTGTCCACCTGATCTTCACCACACCTCTATGTGCTAGGCACTGTTTCTATCCCCATCCTATAGATGAGAAAACTGAGGCACCGAGAAGACGGTTACTGCCTGGTGCCTGTGAGAAGGTAAGTAACCTGCCCAATGGGTCTGCTCTGCTCCCAGGACCCACTGCTATGGCTTCTGTAGAATTTATTAGAATGGCCACATTTTGTCATTAAGCCCTCAGCCTACACCAAGAGGCCTTATAGGAAACAGCCTTACAACGCTCCTTATTTTCTCATTGTCAGGGAATATTTTGTTCATTACAGCATCCAAAATATGCTTGATGAGAAACCACAAGAAAAATTCCTACTAAAGGAGCAATTGCTGTGCTTCTCTTGATAAGTTATTTTTTATTTTTACTATGTGGACACCGTGATTTATGATCATGTTTTTCTCCTTGTACATTTAGAAAACTCAGAGCACAATTGCATCCCGTAATTACATCATCTTTATCCTGCCCTTGTTTTCTCTTTGCCTAGTTTCTTCACCTGTAACCTTGCTTTACTGTATATATTTGAAAAACCACCACTATTCTTTTTCATTGGAGGTAAAGGGTGGCCCGGAGTGTCAGCTCAGGAGTCAGACTGACTAAGTTTAAATGTGGCTTCACCTCTCACTAACTGTATTATCTTGGGTGAGTTAACATGTTGAGGCTCAGTTGACTTTCTTTTCTAGAAAGCAGGGATAATAGAGTCCTTATCTCATAGGTAAGGAGGCAGAAGTAAATGAGAAAATGGGTGGAAAGCCCTGAACACTGTCAACTGGCAGTGTTGAGTAAGTTGGTGATGACGATGATGGTGGAAGAGAGAAATAAATACCACATATCAGCACTGCATGCATCCCTGCTACTGCCACCCACCAGCTGCCACCTGGCCTTCTTCCCCTTGGTACACACAGTCCCTCAGAAAGTATGTCCACACACAGAGGGGCATGTGCCTGCAGTCCTGTGCCCACTGGTGTGTCCATACATTTACTGCAAAGAACACTGGGGTATGAACAGTTCCCACTGGAACCCTGGGACACAGAGCATTGCTAGACTGTAAAACCCAGTGAACATGAAACACCCATTCAGCTCCCCTGAAACTGCCTTCCCTACCTTTGTGCACCAAACACCTGTATTTGACCCCTAATCATAACCATATATACAGACCACACTGTGGCCTTGTACTCAGGTATTCATACTCGTTTTAAACTGCATTAGCCCTTAGATTTCCAAATAGCACGCTCCTTCTACTCAGCACTCACTGCAGGCTGTTTAGAGTGAAGCCTCAAAATGAAACTGCTTATAAACAAGCCAAAGGGACATTTTGTTGCCCTTTGCCTCCAGAGGGATTTTGGCTCTCTGATGTAACAACTCCCTAGCAAACTAACCAGTTCCAATACACAGCCTTAGCTAAGCTGCAGCTCAGGGGAGACCTAAGCCAAGGCAGGGATAGAGGGATTTATAATTCGAACATGAAGGCAAGTTGGATAGACAAAAGCAGAGGAGGGCAGGTTTCCCCTCATGATCCCCTCCCTGTTCCGAACACCCAGCTTCTCAGTGGGTCCGAGCTGTCTCCCCTCTCAGTCGCCCCTGGCTTCTCTTGCTCTCTCGGTGGGGACATTCAGAGGGCGCCTGTGTGACAGGGGGCGTGGTCATCAAGATAAGACTCTGAAGGGAAAGGGGTCGTGTTTATACAAGGCCATGCACGCTGACGTTGGAGAGCAGGCAGCGGTTTCCTCCAAAAGCAGCCACAGGGCTCCCTGAAGGTCCTCTTCATGGTCTCCATGGTTACCAGCAGGCTGGATCTCTCCCCTGCTGGGGACCCCACAGCTCTGCGTCTTTCCACCACTCCTGACTAGCCGGGAGAGGAGGAAAGTCATTTCATTGGGGTCCTGTTGTCTAGTTACCAAGTGATGCCTTCTAGCCTGTGGGTGGGTGTTTCCCTACAGCATACTCCCACATCCAGGCAGCTTCAGGCACAGGAGGGCCGCCGCTGGCTTGAGGACGCTTTCCCCACCATCACTGGGCTGGCCAGATCCAGGGCTGTGAACCCAAGGGACCAGCAAATCAGAGAAGCCCAGGGAAAAAAGCTGCCCCCAGGATACATCTAGCTGACTCAGACCCACCAATCACTTAAAGGCAATCAGGGGACCCTAAAATATAAAGGATAAGAGCTTTTTAAAAAATTAATCATTGTGCGGAACTTGTTATGTAATTTAAGTACTTTACATGCATTGACTTATTTAAAGTCACAGCAAGCCTTTGAGAGGTCATGTTGTCAGTATCTCTATTTTAGATAACACAATGCAGGCACTGAGAGTCTCAGAGCTTGCCCAAGGTCGCTGGCTGGTTGGTCATGGACCAGGGATTCTGAGAGAGGCAGTCTGGCCCCAGTGCCTGTTGTTCTTTCACACACCGCGCTGACTGCCCAGGAACATCCCTGCTGGGCCTCTGGACCTGTTGTCCTGGTACCTGGGATGAGGGAGGCCTTGTGCTGCTGCCTGGCAGTCTGAGAGCAGGACAGAGTTTGACCTGGTGCTGATAGGAGACTGGCTAGAGGATATGGGAGAAATATCCCTGGGCCACCTTAGCACAAAATAGGAGCTCTGAGGAAACACTTAATTACTCTGATAATTAAGAGTGATGAGGGACAAATATCTTGCCGATGACCTCTGGACCATGGAGCAGCATGGGGGCACCAGACTGGAAAGCAGACCCCTGGTTTCTAGTCCCAGCTGGATCACCAAAGCAATGTGTTGGCCTTGGCCAGCAATGTAGTGGCCAGAAAAAGGAAAGAGAGAGAAGAGGACAGAGGATACTTACCTGTAAATTTGTGCCCAGACTGAAGATCAATGAATCTTAGACACTTAGGAATCAAATGGAATCAGGCACTATAGGTCGGCATGTATCAATCAGGGTCGTGACAGGAAAGACATGGAATATTACAAGAGGTAACTGATGAAAGTTTAATGAAGGACTATTTTTAACTAATCAGCAAGATACACACACAACCTAACGTACACCCCGCCTAGCCTCCTTCCAGAAAGCAGAAAAATATTCACCTCCAGGCCAAAAGGGGCAAGGCAGGAAGCTGTTACTGGAACCTGAGGAGGTGTCGCGGGAGCTGTGGCTGTGGCTGTAGGAGAGGGGCCACCTGGCAGGAACGGACGCCTTTGGTAGAGGAGCATGTCATTGTCAGACAGGTAAGAGGCTTCTCTCCCTCCTCCTGCCGGTTCTCCCACTGGCCAAGCCCAGTAAGAAGTCAGAGAGCAAGGAGCCGGGATGATGAAGCATCGGAGGTCAGCTGCAAAGCAGGACATTACGGGGGAGAGAACGGGCTTGAAAGGCAAGTGGAGAAACATCCAGGTACAGGACTGGTCTATAACCTTTGGAGGCCACCAGGATGTGACAAGAGCTCCCTCTCCCCGCGGTCCGTCTCATCTGGTCGGAGCCCTCCTTCCCTCAGGGCGGCCTGTCTGATCTGGAGCAGCCCGGAAAGATCCTGTGTGGCTACAGACGACCTCAGTCTGCTGAGGGTTGGCTGAGGATAACCAGACTGGACCCCAGCTGGCTTCTTGCTTTTTCCTCCCTCTCTCCCCAAGCACATCAGACTAAATGAGCCCTAGAAATCAAACAATGGCCAGTAGTGAGAGAGAGAGAGAGACTGGGGTGGAGGTTGCGCGGAAAGACAGTCCCCAGTTACCCTCGTCCCATAAAGCTGCCGTAAGGGAAAATATAGCCAGGAGTGAAATATAATTACAAAGATAAATACAGAATTACCTAAAATATAATTATTCTTATAGCATCTTCCCACCAGAGGAAGAAATTCTAGAATTCAGAAAGGATAAAAGTCATGTGCTGTTTACAGTCACAGCCACCATTCCTTTGAAATCTGTGTACTAGGAGCTTTTGCCTGGTATGTTAGTCAGTCCTGACAACCACCACTGTTATTATCCCCATTACAGAAGTGAGGATACAGAATCTCTGAGAGGTCCTGCAGCGGTGAGGCCAGAATTAAATCACAGCTTTGTCCCAGCTCCCCCAAAGACAGTGGTAAGACTAGATTTACACCTTAGGCTTCCTGGTTATTTCACCTTCACAGCAACAGTCCGTCCATATTTAAGCTCTCCTTGTGTTACTTTTATTACTAAACCAATATTGGTTCCTTCTTTGTTTTTCTTCTATTGTAGGTAACAATTTAATACTCAGCACTTTAGATGTCATGTAAGCTGAGAGACAATGACAATCTGGGGAAGATGCTAAACCATTTCAATTTTTCAAACAACTTTTCCAAAAATAATCTCTGAGTTTCTTCATTGACCCCATAGACAATCCTTTATCATCCTGGTGAGCATATTAGCTTGGGCTGCCATAACAAAATCCCACAGACTGGAGGGCTTAAACAACAGACATTTATTTTCTCAGTTCTGGAGGCTGGAAGTCTGACACCAAGGTGTCTGCAGAAGTGATTTCCTCTGAGGCTTCTCTCCTTGGCTTGCAGGTGGGGCCACGCCCTTGAGGCCTCTACATGTCTTTCCTCCACTAGTGCGTGCCCTGGGGCCTGTCTGGGGTCCCAATCTCCGCTTCTTATGAGAATACCGATCAGATTGGATTAGGGTCCAACCTAATGACTCTAGTTTAATGTAATTACCTCTTAAAAGGCGGCTCTATCCCCAAATAGAGCCACATCCTGAGGCACTAGGCATGGAGCTGCCACATATGAATTTGGGGGGAGGGGATACAATCCCACCTATAATGCTGATGAATTCATTTAGCACCTTTCTCAGTGGTTTCCAAACCTGTTCACCAGAATTTCCTGAACAGGGTTTTTGAACTATAGAAGCTAGGCTTCTCTACAGACCTACTACATCAGAAACCCTGAATATAGAATCTAAGTATTTGTGGTTTAAAAAAATCTCTGCAGGGAATTTTGAGATGGAGCTAGGGTTAACCCTTCTAGGATTAAATGTTAGAAATAATATTGTGTTCCAGGAATGCTTTAATGCTTCATTAACTCATTTCATCCTCACCCTGAGCTATAAGGTAGGCACTTTTTATTATCCCCATTTTACAGATGAGGAAGCTTAGGCACAGAGAGGTTAAGTTACTTGCCTGTGGTCACAAAGCTAGCCAGTGGGGGGCTGGGATGTAAATCCAGGCAGCCTGTCTCCAGAGTTTGGGCCCCCAACAATTCACTGTCTCTCTCTCTCACAGATGGAGTGCTAACTTTAGTCATCCAAGTGTGGGACCCAAGTGAGACAAGAACTTAAACTAGAGAATTACTGATAGTCATTTCACACTGATCACTGTCATTTCATGCTTAGATACTTGTATATTTTACAAAATATAAGTGAACTTGTAAATACTGACTGCCTCTTGGTATAATCTACACATGAAGAGACATGCGACATTGTAACCTAGTGGTGAAGCAGCCTGACAGCACTCTCAAGCATGAGCACTAGGGGGCTTTGGCTCTGAAAGTGCACGCAGAGGGACACAGGTCTGGTGAACGAGATGGGCCTGAAGATTCACTTTGTCCATTCCCTTTGGCCCCTCCAGAAGAGAGAGGCGGTAAGAGAAGAAGAGACAGGCATTCCTCCCAGGGCTCTTCTTGCCTATCACACCAGCTTCTTTTCCATGGATCTTTTCCCTGGATGAATGGAAAAGGGCCCATCTTCACTCGGAGGCCTTCAACTGACTGCATTTCTAATGTCCTGTTCTCATACAGATTCTGTTCTTTTGAGCCTCTTCTGTTTTTCTTTACAGGCTCCTAACAGTCCTGGTACAGCAGTCAAATCTCAGCGAGATTAATCACCAGGACAATGAGGTGAGCCCACCCTCTGGAGGAGCAGCAGGCCACTGTGTGTATTAGGGTGGGAGGAAGGGCTTTTCTGAACCACTGCGCTTCCGCTCAGAAGGGTGCAGGGAGGGACTGGGGCACACTGCTGTGTTTGTACCCTGAGAGAGGCACCTGGTCTCCACTGCTAATCCTGAGCAGAAATTTATCTCTATCGTGGGTGGAGGTAGTTTCAGTTGCATTAAATCGCAAGCATTTATCTTATCACTGAAAATTTGTAATTTCCCTCTGGACGTTGAGAAATAAATATTGCCCTTTCCTGTCTTCTCCAGTCCCAGCAGGTTCAATGGCCAGCTACAGCTGCCGATGCTCTCTCTTTGAGTGAAAGATGACAGATATTTGCAGGCTCTCTACTCCAGAGGCCACATTACTAACACCAGTAGTCACAGTTGCTGTTTCCTTTATACTGCAAAGGCAATCCTGTACAAGGTTTCCAAGAACGTGGGGCAGCACTCTGGAGAGATTTCTGAGGGAGGGTGGAGCAGACACGAAGCAGAGCTGCCCCAGAGTAGCTTAGGATCTTACTGTATCTATTTAACTCTTTTAAACCCAGGCCTAGTTTTCATTAGCCAGCCTGATTTCTTTTTGTTTTGTTTGTTTTTGTTTTTGTTTTGTTTTTTAATTTTTTATTAAGGCATTATTGATATACACTCTCATGAAGGTTTCACATGAAAAAACAATGTGGTTACTACATTTACCCATATTATCAAGTCCCCACCCATACCGCAATGCAATCACTGTCTATCAGCGCAGGAAGATGCCACAGACTCACTATTTGCCTTCTCTGTGCTATACTGTTTTCCCCGTGATCCCCCACACCATGTGTACTAAACATAATACCCCTCAATCCCCTTCTCCCTCCCTCCCCACCCACCCTCCCACACCCTCCCCTTTGGTAACCACTAGTTCATTCTTGGAGTCTCTGAGTCTGCTGCCATTTTGTTCCTTCAGTTTTGCTTCATTGTTATACTCCACAAATGAGGGAAATCATTTGGCATTAGTCTTTCTCTGCCTGGCTTATTTCACTGAGCATAATGTCCTCCAGCTCCATCCATGTTGTTGTAAATGGTAGGATTTGTTTCTTTCCTATGGCTGAATACTATTCCATTGTGTATATGTACCACATCTTCTTTATCCATTCATCTACTGATGGACACTTAGGTTGCCTCCATATCATGGCTATTGTAAAAAGTGCTGCGATAAACATAGGGGTGCACATGTTTTTTTGGCCAGCCTGATTTCTTTAACAAGCTTCTTAGAACCAATTTAAATACCTGGTTTTTAATGGAATATTTTATAAATATGTGCTTGATTTGGCTACTCTTCACCAAGATTGTGTGATAACTTCAGAAGTCTGATAGCATTGAAAAATGCATATATCCCAAAATGCTAAATTACAGTTTTCAAGGAAGCCAGCTGGCCATAGACAGCGGGGTGCCCTGCCTCCCACCCTTTCTTTCTTGTTAAGGGCTTCCTCCTGGCTGACTTAGCATTTAATGACCACATCAAAAAGCCCCTGTTTCACAGCACAGGTCTGAGGTTGGACACCTCCCTGACTCGGTGGTCACATACTGCTTTCACTCCCTGTGTCTTCAGTGGTTTAAAGCAAAACCCCAGAAGAGAGAGGATGACACTGTAAGCTTCTGCTTTAAAAAGGAGAACCAGAGATGAGAAAGGACACTGATCACATCCTACCCATGGTGTGAAAGCAGGGAGCTTGAGTGGTAGCAGCCTATGTCAGCTGATCACCAACTTCGAGACTTTAGGAAAGTTGACAACCACTTCTTCTACCTCCAACTCCTACCCTCACCCCCGAAACTGAGGCTTATTAGGAAGGGGGTAAATTTAGTCATTCATACCTTAAAGCTAAATTCCCTTTACAGACCTCCAACTCTGTCCACCCTCAGCTGAGCAACCGTCCACCAACAAAGTGATAGTTCCCTATTTTCCCCACCCCCACAGGCCCCTGGCTGGTGGAGACACTGAAAAGAGACACAGATCCTTATAAGAGTGGCAATTGTTAACACTTTTCAGATAGTATGTACCTATTGGAAAATCTCTGCAAAGTGACCTCTCAGATGTTCCTCCTGCTGTTGCATCTGCATTCTGACTCTTAACTTTTAAGTGCAGAGAGCAGGGGCCTCAAAATGAACCCTTCCCACCCAGAGTCCCAGTTTCCTCTTCAAGCCATGCCAAGTTATGTCTGAAAACATCTGAAGCCAACTGCTAATGCTTGCCTGTATTGTTCATTATGTACATATCGATGTCATTGTTTGGGTGAGCCAATCTATAAAAATTTGCAAGGGCTAGAAGCTTTTTGCCCCTGGGAAAGAAGGACAATTCTGAAGTGGAAAGAACATTGCCCGGGCTTTTTTTTTCATTCAGTACCTTGGTGGAATCCCTGCATTTGGCTTCTCAGTGTTCTCAACAAGCATTGCTTACTCTGACCCCCCTCAATCATTTTTCCAGTGAGTTCCAAGCACAATGTAGTCTCCATTATATATGAGGGGTGACAGTTAAAGCGTGGGCACACACACACCCTACACCTGCTAAATAACAGGAAGCAAAACACAGCAAAGGCAAAAGAAATGAAGGAAAGGGTAAAAGTTCGCAGTGCTGGTGAACCATTATGGCTTCCTCATGACAAGAGAAAGAGCTAGGCACACCTCTACATAGTGTGAAGTATGAAGGAAATTATTTGGCTTCTCAAATAATTCACATAAGGCGGCCTCCCAAGCTTATCACAATAATAATGAAAGATTAAACAATCAATTAGTAGAAATCTAACATCATTAAGAGAGAGATTAGATTGTAAACTGAAACTAAAGAATAGAGAGAAGAAGAGAGAAAAAATCCATTTTTGAAGCCATTCTTTAACTGCTCAAGGACAACAAAATGTGACAGTGTTTTATATCAGGGAGTGAATATCACTTTAGAGGCTATCCTGATCTGGGCTCAGTGACAAACTATTTTTTGGTATCATTAGTTTTCACTTACACAAGTAATTACATGAACACATTTGCTTTTTAAGAATTTAAATATTAGAAGTAATACTAGGAAGTCCTTGATTACTTCTACCACCTCAGCCCCCAAGTAACCACTGTTTGATGTGTCTCTTCCAATCTCTTACATATGTTCATAGACACCACAGAGTATAGCTTAAAAGGTATCACATTCTGTGTGTTGTCCTGCAACTTTTGTTGTTTCATTCAATAATATATTTTAGAGCCCTCCCATGTTGATACACATAGATCTGGCTTCATAATGTCACATAATATTCCACCCTATGAACATACCTCCATTTAATTTGCTGTTCCCTTGTGAATGGATATTTAGGTTGTCCAATTTTCACCATCACAAACACTGAAGAGTGTTCTTGTACAAGCCTCCTTGAATATTTTACACAAGCATTTATCTAGAAGAAGAATTATCATACAGTAGAGAGTATACATTTTTATTTTTAATACACATGCCTTGTTTTTCTAAAATGGCTCTATCAATCTATAGTTCCACATATGGTATAAAAGGGCGCCTGTCCTTGTTTTCCTGTTGTTGAATTTTCTTGTTTTAATTTGTATTCCACTGATAACTAATGAGATTGCACATCATTTCATAGGTATAAAGTTCTATCATATCTTCTTGTGTACTTTGCCTGTTCAGATCCTTTATCCATTCATCTGTTGGGTTTCTTGTCATTTTCTTATGGATTCATAGGAGTTTATTTTATATTCTTAATTTTGCTGTTCAAATGCAAAGATTTTTTTCACAGTCTGATGCTTATTTTAGAACTGTTCATGATGCATTTTCTTTTACAGAAATTTAAAATATGATACAACCAAAGTGATCATTCTTGTCCATTAATGCTTTTGCTTTTGGTGTTCTTTTAAAGAAGACCTTGCTACTTCCAGGGCCATGGCTACATTACACTAAATTTTTCTTTTAGTCTGTTACAAGATTTTTTTTTTTAAGTATGTGGTTCCATTTCTGAGCTCTTTGTTCTGTTCCAGTGAGCCATTTGTTTTTTCCTGTTTCACTAACCACACTGATTAAAGTAACTTATTTAGAAGCTATCCACACTCCGAGTTTACCACTGTGGGAAAGGCGAGATGGGTCAGATTGTCTGTCCTTTATGCCTTTGTTCTTCTGGACCTCAGGGAATCATTAACAGAGAGGAAGGTGGTCTATTGCAGGTACTGGGAGTTAACAAGTTGCTAAACTCCTGGAAATAACCTCTACTGCTCTCATTTTAGTTTGATAGGAAGAGTGCCCCAGCAAGAGGGGCTGTGAGCTATTGGTAACTAGGTTACAACTTTGAATGCATTTATTCAGAGAAGTACTGTTATGCATGTATTTAGTATATGTTGTTGATCCCATATTAAAAGCATGTTCTGATGTAAGTAGATTTTTGTGAGTGGCTTGACAAACCAAACTTCCATTATAACAGCTCTCTGAGAAAATAGATCCAAGTTGTAAAAACAGATGTGAAATTTTGGATATAATTCTTAGCATTAAATCCTCTTACAATATTCCTAAACTATACAAGCAAAGATTATAAAGGCAAAATCAACAGAAGCAGTGACTGACTCTGGACATCTTTTTACTTTAGAGTTAGCAAAAGGTAAAGCATATTTTTTAATGCTCCAGAATTTTTATGCTAAAAATGAACACCTTTAAAAAATGGAGTAGAGTCACTACTCTTAGGAGCCATCACTTCCCACTGCCCCCACCCCCGTCTCCCTATAAATTTCTAGAAGCAGGCCATGTCGTTGTCTATCTTTTATCCCGAATGTAGCTCAGTAACTTACGCCTAGTAAAGCCCTTCCTATATTTATATATGTGTGTAGATAGAAAGTTAAATTATTAAATTCAAGAAAAAGTCATATTTTTTTCTTTACTGGCCCTTTCTCTATTTTGTTTACCCAACTCAGTTATCCATTTTATTAATCAGAATTGACCTTCCAGGTGACTTT